GTGTATAGACTTTGTTACAAGGAAATATAAAATTTTCTTGGAACATCTGTTTTTTTGTGTTGGCAAAAGGATCAGCGAAAAGAGTTTTTATATGAAATGTTCAAGTAATATGATATTCTAATAATATTAAAAATTCAAGAATTATATATAAATTTATAAATAACTTGTTAATAAGTGTTTTGCTATAAAAAAATAGGTTAACTTTAATATAATATTATATTGTATATTATATTATTGTTTTCTTTATTTAAAGGAAAAAAAAATTTTTTTTTTACTATAAAATTTTTAAATATATTTTTATATTTTATTAAAAAAAAAAAAATTGTAATTTAACAATAAAATCTATGCGTGTATCGCACTTTAGCCCTAAAAAAAAAAAATAATAATAATAATAAAATTATTATCATATCATTATTTAGAATTCATATAAACGACTAAATAAATACTGTATTGTTCTAAGATAGATAAAATTGCGTTTTCAATTATATACAGTATAAACAGAGAATTTGTACAATGAGTATAAACTCCGTCAATGGGATAATATTCTTACTCCTGTTGGTTGTATCACGTATAATACGAAGTATTACCACATTAGTAATCTCGTTGAAGGTATCACACGAATATCAATAATGCAAGAATTTCTTAATAGGCATTTAATATACTCCTATCTTTGCGTGAACGACCTTTTTAAAGATAGTATGAAAGTAATCTAAAATTTGTTTAGTACTTTTTTGAAATTTAGCCTTTTCTGTGGGTTCTTGTCGTTGGAGCTCAACCCTTCTACCCTTCGCGCCTGGAATACTTGCAAGTAAACAATGTGGGCTTTTATTTACGAATTACCCGAAGTCAAATCATTCATTGGCGTTATTTTCGCTGTCACAGGCAATGTAAGGTATATTCTATGCCCATCATGACTTTCTTATCTTTTACTAAAAATCTCTTATTCACATTTTTTTCAATAGGTTTTGATATCTGTAGCATTAAATATTCAGAAAAATGCCCACAATGAGCTTCAGAAGCTTCACCAACTTGATCAACTTGATTATGAAGCATACATAGGTAATAATCTGCGTAGTTCTGAATCAGAAACGCGTAATACAGATACCAACGACATCGAAGGATATGAAGTATTGCTGGATCCTGAGCAGTACAGTGAAACACATTATCTTCATTCAAAGTCATGGTGGGCTGGAATACTTGTAATGATCATCGGTAAGTTATCAAAAGTCAATCAAATTTATGCATCATAACTTTTGACATATATCTGATTGAATTTACATAGGGGAACTAGGGAATTTTATCGCATACGCGTTTGCACCAGCATCTGTTGTGGCTCCTCTTGGAACAGTTGCGTTAATTTCCAACGTTATTTTAGCACCAATCATGCTCAAGGAGAAATTTAGGTCTCAAGATTTAATTGGAATCATAATTGCAATTATTGGTGCCGTCTTTGTGGTATTAACCTCGAAATCGGAAGAGTTAAAGGTAAGCATGCAATTGACTAGCAGAATCTCTCAATGCAATCCATATACTCAAATTACTAATCAATTTTTCCTTATAGCTTTCCGAAGAAGCAATGTGGAATGCCATAAAGAAACCACAATTCATAATTTATTTTACTATAACATGCGCACTTGCAATTTTTTTAATTTATCTTTCCGGTGAAATTGGACATAAATTGATTATCATCGATCTATCGTTGGTGGCATTGTTTGGTAATGTTTATATATTACGTAAATCAGACTAATCCCTTGTAAGCGCATGTAACCTAATTTAAGTTATTTCCATAAAGGTGGCTACACGGTTTTGTCAACGAAAGCTATTTCTTCTCTGTTGACGACGGAATTCTTAATGATGTTTAAACATACCCTTACGTACATTTTACTATTTGTTTTGATTAGTACAGCGGTCCTTCAGGTGAAATTTCTCAACAAGGCCTTGAAACAATTTGATTCTACGGTATGTCGTATCAAATATTAAGAAATACTTTATCTAAATATATTTATTTAAAATCCGGGTTTGAAACTTCTCTTCTTTTTTATATAGGAAGTTATTCCTACACAATTTGTTCTTTTCACTATGTCCGCAATAACAGGGAGTGCTGTACTATATAACGATTTTGCTGAAATGGACTTTTGGAAATGTAGTAGCTTTCTTTCCGGGTGTTTTATGACGTTTTTAGGTGTTTATTTTATTACATCTAATCGAAGCAAATCTCAAGGCTATATTCCAATATCCCATCAGGAACCAAATACCATGGGAAGAGGCAGTATCATTGTTGATCCTTTACACCCACCGCTTCCTGATCCAACTTCCCTTAACACGTCTGAAAGAAGATTCTCGCAAGCAACTTCGGCCACAACCATTCCTCGAAGGAACACAGTATTAGGGCTGATTAACTCATCAAATCCTACTTTGTATAGAGCATATGGCTCAATGGATAATTCGTCATCGAGAAATGACACGTTTTTGCAGTCAATTGTAAACGGGGTGACCACTAATTCTCTCACTGCTGGTGTAAGTCAAGCATTAAATTCTGTTGGAGCTCGCCATTCACATGCATTAGGATTAGGTAGAATTGATCAAAATTTTTTTAATCCAACTTGATATTAATTTTTAATTATTTTATTTTATCTTATTGCACATCATAAATTTTATTGATATTCATTTGATTTGATATCCCAAATTGTTTAATCGATCCAATTTCACATCTCGCTTTCACTTTCAGTTGTGACACCACCATAATCACGTCTCAAAGGTAAATCTGGTAAATCATCTGTGTCTTCAGGATAACTACTAATTCCCGGAAACTCATCATATATACTACTACCCGTATCCAAGTACAATCTCGCATTACTGTCCTCCGTTGAAATTGTTAACCCGCTCACTGTTCTGTCATCATCATCATCGTCGTCGGTGTGGGTGTGAGTAGAATCCGTATAATAAGAGGAATCGGTGTACGATGTGCCAAGATATGACGAATTGTTAAAATTTGTATCAGAGTTTTCGCTATATTCAGTTTGATTAGTACTGAATCTATCACCCCCGTAATTTTCAAAGTCACACGCGCGGGATGAGAATACTGGAACAGAGCTGCTGCGATAAAATCTTCTTTGATCCTCT